GAGATCATACTTACAAGTGAAATAAATCAGACCTGCATGTGTAAACAATGTATTGTCTCACTAGTATAAGAACCTGAAAGAGTGAATAAAAATTAGGAAGTATGATAGACATTGTGACATGAAAGGAAACTGCTCAAAAGTAAAGAGCAACTGGGATGAGGGAAAAGAGAAAAGAAAGAAGGGGGAAATTATGTATGTATGTATATACAGGATACCTAACATAGTGGTACTACTGACTTCTATTGCTTTACAGAAAGGAACAATTAATGTTTAATTATTTGACCAATCTTAGATGTCTATATTTGTTTTCCCGAGAAACCACTTTGAAGGTATCAATATGTAATACAACAACAATTGTTAATTTCAAAAAAAAAAAAAATTCATTCTTTGACTCTGGGGGACACAAACTCGGCATATTTGAACAATCTGTAAATAAGTAACTAAACAAAAGAACAAACAAACATGGTATGACAAGAAACTAGAAGGTAGACTTTAAGAGATAGGGAAGGTGATCAGAGGAGGGAAGAGGAAGGCAGAGTCAGGTAATAGGGATGAAAATAATCGAAGTATGTTATATGCATGTACCAGTAGGCCAAAATGAATCTCATTATCTTGTACATTTTTACTAATACGCACTAATTAAAAATAACAAAAAATATATATACCTACCATATTGATAAACACATTTTAATCTGTAGTATTATTGTATTAAGGAGAAAGGAGACTAGAACACATATGTTGTTGATGATATTAGGAACTAGATAACCATTTTGGAAAATAATTTGGGCTTATTTAATAAAGTTGATGAAACACTTATCCTATAACTCACCATTTTTAAGTACATTCACTATGGAAACTCTTGTAGTATATCACATACAAAGATGTGTGCGGTACCTGTCCTTCACAGTAAAACTGATAACCAACAAAATGGTTATTAACTGTAGAATACAGAAGTAACTTATCAATGTTAGTTCAGTGCTGAGATCCCACAGCTGAGTAGACCTATTTTTTCTGTGATTTCTTCATACCGTGGGGTGCAAAGAATCTTTGAAGACCCTCAAGCCACCAATGGAGACAGTGACCTTTGAGGATGTAGCTGTGAACTTCACCATGGCAGCATGGGCATTGCTGAATCCATCCCAAAAGAAGCTCTACAGATGTGTGGTGTGGGCAACATTTATAAATATTAATGCTATAGGAAGAACACGGGATAAACAGCAACCTGGAGAAGAGGACAAAAATTGTTCAAGAAATCTAAGATACGATACAGACAATCATTTAAGATTTGAAGAGAAGCTATATAAAGGTAATGAACATGGAAAAACCTGCAGTGCTTTCCCAAGCTTTCAGGAGCATGAAATGAGAAAGACTGGAGAGAAACCCTATGAATATGGGCGATGCAGGGAGGCCAACTCTGGTCTTAGTGAACGAACTCATCCTGGAGAGAGACCCTTTTTAGGTAAGAAAAGTGTGAAAACCTCCACAACACCCACTGGTGTTCAAATCCATAAAAGAAACCAGAGTTTGGGGAGTCCATATGTATACAAACACTGTGAGAAAAGTTTTAATTCTTCATACCTTACCCAAAAGGTTGAAAGAAGACATGCTGAAGAGAAACCCCATGTAACTAAGAAAGGTGTAAAAGCATTAGCTCTTAGGAATTCCTTTCCAAATCATAACAAGATTCACACTGGGGAGACGCCCTACGTATGTGGACAATATGGAAAAAGATTTGTTGGTAAGTCCACATTTCATAGACATAGAACATCCCACTTGCAGGAGAAAAAATATTTATGTAAGCAATGTGGGAATGCATTCAGTAGGCAAGGTGTCTGTCAAAATCATGAAAGAACTCACAGTGGGGAGAAACAGTATGCATGCAAAACATGAGGGAAAATATTCAGTACAGTGAGAGGTTATAAAATACACAATAGAACTCACACTGGGGGGAAACCCTATGCTTGCAAGCAATGTGAGAAATCTTTTAGCCGCAACAGTAACCTTCATGTACATGAAAATATTCACACTGGTGAGAAGCCCTACGTAGGTAAGCAATGTGGGAAAGTATTCCGCCAAAATGCTCACATTCCTGTACATGGAAGAATTCGCACAGGGGAGAAGGCCTATGCACGTAAGCGATGTGGGAAAGCATCCAGCTAAAACGGTAACCTTCTAGTACATGAAAGAATTCACACAGGGGAGAAGGCCTATGCACGTAAGCGATGTGGGAAAGCATCCAGCTAAAACGGTAACCTTCTAGTACATGGAGGAATTCGCACAGGGCAGAAAGCCTATGCACGTAAGCGATGTGGGAAAGCTTTCAGTGCACACAGTTACTGTCAAAGTCATGAAAGAAGTCACACTCGGGAGTAACCCTATGTATGTGAGAAATGTGGAAAAGGATTTGTTCATAAGTCCACATTTTGTAGACATAGAAGATCCCACATTCACATGAAACTATATATGTAGGCAATGTGGGAAATCTTTCAACCAACAGAATAATTGTCATATACATAAAAGAATTCACACTGGTGGTAGAACCTATGTATACAAGCAATGTTCAAAAAGATTTGCTGGTAAGTCCACATTTTGCAGACAGAGATCTACACTGGGGGAGACCATACGTGTGTAAACAGTGCGGGAAAGCACTCAGCACACACAGTCACTGTCAGAGACATAAAAGTACTCACCGTGGGGAGAAATCCTTTGTGTGTGAAAATTGTGGGAAAGTGTACAGTAGACAAAAGTATTTTCAAATACATGAAAGAAGTCACACTTAGGACAAATTCTATGTGCATCAGTAATGTGGCAAATCCTCAGCCAACAGTGTACTTTTCGGACACATAAACCATTTCATTGGGCAGAAACCCTGTGCATGTAAGGAATGTTGGAAAACGGTACACAAAATTGCCATCAAATACATGAAAGAAGGCATCCTCAGGGAAACTGTATTTATTTAGGCAGTGTGGAGAAGATTTGATGTAAGCTCTTCATTTTGTAGAAATGTTTGTAAGAAGCGTGTGAAAAAATTTAGTTGATACAGTATAAATACTTGAATAAGCTCCTACTGGAGAAAGCTTCTGTAAGCAACGTGGGAAAGCACTGCCATATGTAGGAATTGTCGACTACGTGAAAGCAGCCATACTGGACAGGAACCAGAAATGTATGCCCATCCTGAAAATCCTGCGAAAATTACTCATGTAATGGAGACCTGTAGACGTAATATGAAATATTAATGTAAATATTTCTTCATTAATTTTCCAGAAAATATATTCCAACATCAAGATATCCTAAAGTGTACTCATTCTGCATTTTTCAGTCAATCACTTATAAATATCTGATCTGTGTATCTGTG